TTTAAGATCATTTTAGTGAAAGTTTCATCCTTCAAGGCGTACCATTCACTGCTGAAATACTAAACAACCTGCTTCCATGGCCGAGATACAGGGCGCCCATATTATAAGGTAAGGTTATAAAACCACCATTTAAGATCATTTTAGTGAAAGTTTCATGTTCCTATCTCATAGAATTTAAGAACAATGATGAATAAATAATTTTCGAGCAAAATTTAAATGGCCGGCTGAATATATTACCGCAGGAGCCGCGGCCGCGGAATTTAAATGACCACGTCAAAGGGTTAAGCCCAAGGATAACTTTTTTTCATGGGCACAGCCGTCATTTGGGCCTAGGCCTACCTCCATGAAACTCTCCGTTCACTTCAGTTTTACTAGCTCTTAGACATACGGTAGGACTCCTTGGGCGTGTGATCAGCTCGTCGCAAGGCCTCTACCTGTACGCAAACACAGAAAAGCACACACAAACATCCATGCCCTGAGTGGGATTCAAACCCATGATCCCGGCTTCCGAGCAAGCGAAGACAGTGCATACCTTAGACCGCTCAGTGACCGTGACCGGCAAGGATAACTTTACCTGTACCATAATTACTGTAGCAAGCATTTTGCTTGTGTCATATGGGATTCCTTTAGGGACATAGACTGATATACAAATTGAAAGGGGAAATAATGGACATAAATGTAAGAGGGTAAGAGGAGTGCTTATGTGAAGAGACAAGACTGGAGGCGCTATCTGCGGATGATGTACAGTTTTTGTGTGAACCATGGTTGACATTATTTAGACATTAAACTTAATGGTTGAGTGGATGGCACTCCAGCGTTATGTTTTGTACCTCCAGGTTCAAATGTGGGCCCAGAGACCAGGTATCTTGACTGAGAGTTTTAATTATTTTTATCAGTCCCTCCAGGCAGATGCTGTGACAGTACCTTATATTAGGCTATTCTTCCACGAAGCCAGGATAGCTCAGTCAGTATAGCAACTGGCTACGGGTTGGACAACTGATGATTCGGAATTTGAGTCCCAGTAGGGTCAAGAATTTTCTCTCCTCCAAATTGTCCAAACCGGCTTTGGGGTCCACTCAACCTCCTATCCAATGGGTACCAGGGGCTCTCTCCGGGGGTAAAGCAGCTGGTGCGTGATGCTGACCATTCACCTCCAACTAGTGCCGAGGTCAAGAAAATGTACATCTATACATCCTCTTCCCCATACGCCTTCGTGGCGTAGTGCTTAATTCATTGAGTATAGGGACAACTTTACCTTACCTTACCATATCCTTCCACATCCGTTCCAGTTCGTTGTTGACTGATCCTACCATGTGATGCCATGTAGTCTGAGCTACTGACAGTCTTGTTAAGTAAGCCATATTGATAAATTAAATAAGAGACAGGATTTATTGATCACTGCTGACAGATCCAATTGCTGTAGTGTCTGGTGACAGCAAACCTATCATCGGTGGTCCAGGAGGAGAGGAGTGGCACAATGCAGCATATGTTCAAGGTCGCTTGGGTGATGGGATGGTGGTTACTTCTTCGCCAGTCTCAGGAAACCAGCAGCAGACAAATTCATCATCCCCCCCTCACGGTTCCACCTCGCAGTCTGGAGCAGGAGCAGAGGGTACAGAGTTTCAGACTGTTGGATCACAGACCTCACACTCAGATCTTTTCAAGAAACTTGAGGAGGTATTCATTTTGTTGTGTCTTAGGTTGTTTCTTTTATTGCTAGTGGTGTGGGACTAAGTCCCTTGTACTGCAGCCACTTCTGGCCTATTGTACCAGCCCCAGATGATAGGTGAGGGTGATTGTGGGGTAATTGGTGTAGTGAAGATTGGCAGGGGAAACTGAAGTACTCAAAGAAAACCTGCCCCAGCGCCACTTTATCCTCCACGAATCCCACTTGACCATACCTGGGATCGAATGCAGGCCGCCACGGTGGGAAGCCAGCGACTAACCGCGTGAGCTGTGGCACAGCCTTGTGTCTTAGGTTACTGCCGTATTTTGATCTGGACACCATTTTACAGACTCATACAGGCTGAGACTGCAACAATATTGATCATAATCGTCTTCAGATTTCTTATTTTGTTCTTCCTATGTATTATGATCTCATGACAAACTGATCTGAGTCATTCACATGGTGTTTCAAAGCTTGTATTTCTGCCGTATAGATTCATGGTGAATAAAAGCTAATTTATATTTTATTTAACTCAACTCTTTTTTTTTTCAAGTAAGTTGTTCAGATTATGAAACTATTAAAATGATTTTGATATTCAGGATAACAAGAATACTTCTTACCTTAAGGCAATAACATCTCAGCAACGACACTATAACACTGACCTTACAACCTGATGAGAGACAACATTCTCATAAGAAGATACATAATCCCCTAAGAAGAACAAGTCTAGAAAGACCAACGTACCTGAGGAACACTATGTACCTATATATTGTCATTTTAATTTTAATAATTTGTAATTTTAGCTTTAATTTGGCATCTAACTAGATGCATAATGATTCATCCAGTCTCAGCCCAATTGCTTTTCAAGTTGTACATAACCCTGACTGTCTCATTACAAATGTGACATTGTATAGTACAAGGTAAACCATATTATGGATGCATATTGGCTGCTAGTTCAACATCTTAACACTAAATTTTTTTTTTTAGATTTGCTTAGTGGGGGGTGGAGTCCAACTGGGTCCACTCGGCATGGCGGCCACTGATTGGCCTATTGTAGCCTGCCCCGGGTGATTATGATGATGGAGAATATTTGGTGGAATGAAGATTGGCAGGGGAAACCGAAGTACTCGGAGAAAACCCGCCCCAGCGCCACTTTGTCCACCACAATTCCCACTTGATCGAACCTGGGCTGCCATGGTGGGAAACCAGCGACTAACCGCTTGAGCTATGACGTGGCCTATAACACCCTAATACTAACCAACACCTGATGATGCCCCAGTAAGGGTCGAAATATGTGTCTTTAAGAGTTATGGTTTTAATGTCAACGTTAATTTGTATACCTCTTGAAGAATTGTTGTGTTGATGGAAACAATAAATATTTTATGGGAGTCATTATTGTTAATTCATCCTCAACCAAGAAGTGACATTCTCTGATCATCATTCTATTGCAGATACACATTCATGTTGATTATTTAATAATGTGACACATTTCTAAGAGAAATGTGTCACATTATTTTCGTCCATGATATGTATGCTGTGTCCGTCTTGTAGTGCACTCAGTTTCACCTGTTATTTCACGACATGTTTCGGCAATATAGTGTCATCATCAGGTGCTCCATTTACATTACTCTATTGCATTGCTTGCCATTATGTCATTGTAAAATTATTTAAAAAATATTTAAAAATATTCGTCAATTATAATAAATTTTTATACACTAAAATCTTGTTAAGATATTCATCTTATATGTCCCAATTCAAGCCCGCACATGCTTCCTCCACTATGGGAGTCGTTCCTCTTATACTCCATGTATATCTTGTCTCGTGATGTGTGTTCCCTTTTTGGCTGCAGGTGTTGTAATGTTGGAACACACATCACGAGACAAGATATACACGGAGTATAAGAGGAACGACTCCCATAGTGGAGGAACCATGCGCGGGTTTGAGTTGGAACATATATAAGATGAATATCTTAACAAGATTTTAGTGTATAAAAATTTATTATAATTGACGAATATTTTTAAATATTTTTTAAATAATTTTACAATGACATAATGGCAAGCAATGCAATAGATTAACGTAAATGGAGCACCAGATGATGGCACTATGTTGCCGAAACATGTGAAATAACAGGTGAAATTGAGTGCACTACAAGACGGACACGGCATACATATCATGGACGAAAATCAGTGCAACAGGACACTAAAATACAACATTATGAATAGTAGACATTATTTTGCCTTATGGTATATTTCTAGATGTCAGCAAGGATGTTGAAGTTAGCACATCACTTCCAGCGGACTTTGGAAGAAGCTCGAGAACAGTGCCAGCGGGAAATTAACAGTTTGAAAGAAGCCAAAGAACAGGCTGTGTTGGCAGCCAGAGTTGAGACTCATGTTGCATGTACCAGGTAAGATAATTCACAAATTGCACGAGTCTCCTCGTCTGGAAATGACATTGTTTTCTTCAGCCTGAAAGGTTTATGGAGGGCTTCTTATGCATTCTTTGCACTAAGTGCATAAAACGAATGTGTAAAGGGAATGCTGTATTTATGAAAATATGTCAGTTATCAGTCTTCCTTTTTAAGGGCCGTGTTTGAACCACGTGCTGGAGAAACTGCTCTTCCAGTTCATGTGGTGGACCCCATTGAAACCGTTGGATTGCAGCCAACCTCAGATGCTACTGAAAACAAGAAGGTTAGTTAAGTATTCATGGCGTTACACATATCCTAGGCAAACAAATGAAAGAAAAAATTAACATATGGTTAAGTAAGGTTATCCAGCAACATAACAAAAAATGGTTTTTCAGTCAATCAGTATTTCTGAGATTGAATTTTATTTCTTGCTGCTATCCTCATGTTACCATCATCAGGCAGTATTAGATATTACTGTTAATAACGTTTGTGACACGCAACAGGATGCATAGTGTGAAAATGGAATATTCCTTTTGGTATAAGAAAAACTGTTGTGTCCTCTCCTGTTGTGTGGTGTGCCGCGTGTCTTGTTTTCGAATGCTTGCTGACAGGGACAGTTGATAGTGTCTAGTTGTACTGTTTGCAGTGTGCCAACTGTAACCGTGAGGCATATGCGGAGTGTTCGCTGTGCCGACGAACACCCTACTGCTCAACATTCTGCCAGCGCAAGGACTGGGCAAGTCATCAGGTGGAGTGTGTGCGCAGTGCAACAGAGCCTGGTTCCATCATGCTTATAGTAGAGAGTTCAGAACAGGTTCTCACATCACAGCCTGAGTAGTAGTTAGGTAATTCCTTATGTAATGTTAGCTGTATGACTGAATTTGTTACCTGCTGCACTTGATTTTATTTCAAGATAAGTTAATGATAGAATTTAAAATTACAGTAAAAGTAAAGCTATCCTTGTACCAGGCCGTGAAGGCCCATAGGATTGTGAGACATTGAGGGTCCCACATTATCTAGAAGATTGGCTCAAAGATGGCTGTAAGGTTGTCAGCCTTACGCGCCGGCCGCCCTTTACTCCCCAGGAAAATTATTTAATTAATTCCTGGTATTCATTTCTGTTAGAGGCTGAGTGAACCTCAGGGCCATAGTGCGGCTGGAAGGATTAGGTCAATTGAAAAAAATTAAATAACCTCATCGGGACTTGAACCCGCGACCTTCTGGCTTGTAGCATAGCCCATCAACCAACTACGCTACATACGGGAAACAGAAAGAAACTTATCTCTCTTTAGCTGGGGAAGTAGAATTATTGCTTCATGTATAATAAGGATTTTGTCCTGTCCTTATGTACATAAAAAGAGATAAAGGTAAAGTTGTTCTTGTGTTTACTGAAGCACCGTAACATGAAGATTTATGGTGGAGTGAAAGGATAGCTCCACATATTTCTAACGTTGCCACTAGATGGAGGTGAATGGTTAGGATCATGCCCTGGCATCCCCAGGGAGAGATGTCACCATCATGCATGTTAGTGAGGAGACAAAATAGCCCTCAGAACTAGTCTGGACCCAGTGGGAACGGGAAATTCTTGTCTCTTTTGGGAAAAACCAGCCCAGAGCGAGTCATCATACTGACAGATCTATCCTGGCTTTTCCTTATATACATAATGAAGGCTAAAGAATCTAGACATGACCTTGTATTCTTTAATTGATAGTGTACATCTTGCAGTTTTATTAGTTACTGTATACTATTTCTTCATAGCTGTATAATGCTGTAGCTATTCCAGGAATACAAGTATGATCAAGTAGGGCCATAATGTTGTATTATATAATGATAAATTCATATTTATTCTCCTCAACATGCTGTGTTTTTTATTTTATTTTTTGTATTGGCATTTTATTTTATTCTATGTATATTTAAATTGAAATTATAGATTTTGAAAATAATATGAATTTTTGTTTCTTTTTAACCTCCTAGTGTCATTTGATATAACATATATCTCTATACAGTGCAGCCAGGTCTTGGAATTGGTGGTGATATTGCATGACTAATTTTGAAGATATTCCTCAGTTTGATATACGCTGTATAACATGCAAAATTTCTTTCATGATAAGTAATCATGTTATGGCGAGGTAAATATTTTCTGTCTTGTACTTAGTACATGACTAATTTGTGCTCTTATTGTCTAGAGATTTCCCTAGTTGATTGACTCAAGGCAATGTATTAGGTAACACAAAATAATGTATTTTTTTTAAAAATAGAAATGAACAGTTGTATAAATTTTAATTAAACTTTTATAGGTTGTGTATAACATGTCTCAGTATGTGTGTGAAAATATTTATTCAGTTTGGTTGATCTGTTGCATAGAAAAATATTTCCCATTTTGAATGTTATTGAGCGCCTCCCAGATACAAGTCTAAATCATTACAGCTAGACCAGTGTGTTCAAGGGCATTAAGATTTTGTGTGTAGCATATACGAGAATGTAGACATGAAATATGAACTCATTGAATCCACAAAGTAATCTGTTATTACGGACCTTTTAAGTTTTTGTGGATTATGTCGCTTACTGCGTGCAGTTGAAAACATACCTGTAGATAGTATATAACATGGTCATCCCATAGCAGAGGTGGATAGTTGCCGGCTTCCCACTGCGACAGCCCAGATTCTGTCTTAGAGCAGGTCATGTAGGATTTGTGGTGGACAAAGTGGGAATCAGACAGGTTTCCTAAGAGTACTTGCTTTCCCCTGCCATTTCTCGTTCCATCAAATGCTGCATACTCATCTGTTATCCAGTACTGGTACAATAGGCCAATTAGTAGCCAATATACCAAGTGGACTCAGTCTCAACCCACCCAACAGTACTTAAACATAAAAACTTAGTATATAATATTTTATAAAGTTATCCCTGTGCTTAGCTAATTAAGCACTATGCCATGAAGGCGTATGTGCGACTGGCTGTATAGACCCACGTTTTCTTGACCTTGGCATTAGTTGGAGGTGAGTGGTCATTTTCATCATCATCATCATCATTACTGGCATGACAGCCCTTTGTGGCCTTCCTCAGGATTGCTCGCCATTCTTCTCTATTCAATGCTACATTCCTCCAGTTCTTTACACCCAAAATTCTTATGTCCTGCCACACACATTCTTCCCATCTTAACCTTGGTCTTCCCACTCTCCTATTTCCTTCTGGTTTGGTGTTAAGCATTTTTTTGATGGTTCTATTCTCGCTGGCACGTATTATGTGTCCAGCCCACTCAAGCCTTTTCACCTTTATATCTAGTTTATAGCTATCTAGTTGTTCAAGTAGCATTTTTAGTGCTCCGGCTCTGTAAAGAGATAATACATTCCAAGATCCAATTCTCAAATCCTTTAAACATTTTCCGGGTCGTCTTGAATAGGTCCATCCGGCTACTCTTTCCTCGGATTTCTGAACAATTTAGTTTTTACAGTGTGAGGTCATTAGCCTCACGCCCAACCCCCAACCTTGAGGACCAGAGTATCCCTCTCTGTCTGGCTCCTACCCCTTGACCTGTCCGGCATGTGTGACCCTACCAGTAGCTACGCTACCGCCGGCATAGCTCTCAGGGTCTCAGGAGCTCTCAAACCCCACCACCACGATAAGGTGGAGACACCATTGGTGGGGGAGTGGTCATGTTATGCCCCAGTAATATTTCGTATCAGACATAAGTATCTGATTGCCCCATTTGGTGACATTTCTGATGTATATTAAGAAAGAGATGGTATTTTGCCCTCTGTGCTTGCTGCATGTGTCATGTTCATTGCTTGCTTGGGTCACTGTCGACCCTGATGATTGCTGGGGGATATAGCGCCACGAAACTTTGGTGAACTTCTGAACTGCATGGCATTACATTCCAGAAGATAATACTTTTCAGATGATGTTATATTATGTAAAACAGAATAATGTAAATAATATATGATATACTTTAGGCACTTTTTAGTATTGTATTTTACCGTCCTGTTGCACTGATTTTCATCCATGATATGTATACAGTTGCTGTCTTGTAGTGCACTCAGTTTTTTTCGGCAACATAGTGCCATCATCAGGTGCCCTAATTATGCTAATCTATTTCATTGCTTGCCTTTATAAAATTATTTAAAAAGTGCGTATTTGTCAACTATAATAAATTTACACACACTAAAACTTGTTAAGATTATTCATCTTATGTGTCATAATTAAAACTTGCGTGTGGTTCTTCCACTATAGGGGTCGTTTTTCTTGTATTCTGTGTAAACCGTGTCTTGTGATGTGTGTTCCCTTCTTAGCTGCGAGTGTTGTAATCATACACTTTTTAAATAATTTTATAAAGGCAAGCAGTGAAATAGATTAGCATAATTAGGGCACCTGATGATGGCACTATGTTGCCGAAACATGTCGTGCAGTAACAGGTGAAATTGAGTGCACTACAAGACGGCAACTGTATACATATCATGGACTTTTTTAGTATGTTGTTATTTATTCATTGAAGTGAATGGAGACCAGTTCTTATGTATTATGAATTACCAAGTGCTGAACAACAGGAACAAGGCTGAATACAGATATTTAGGAATAGAACATTCTTTAGTCGCCTTTTCCAAGTCTTGACCGCTCCCCATATTTGTAAACACTAAGCCAGCCTTTCATTCTGTGATACTATTTACACTGCTGCAATTCAAAATGTTGCTTTGCAATGTAATGATGTTAGCTTCTGCCATTATGTTCTGGCAACAGTTGGAAAGAATGTGGCAAACCAGCAGACCTGCAGTATCTGTATCCATACCGTTACTTTGAATATGGAGTAAAATTATCTACGTTATCAGGAATTCAAAATCTTATTAAAAGTGTTGTGAGATGTGATGGCCGAGCAGCAATAAACCTTGTTATCGACTGAGTTACCGGCATTTGCAATCGTGGTCGATAGATAATACTAAAAGATGGCAGAGTAATGTTCGTGCTTGCAGCCATGTTTACTCAAACTCCCTCCAACTGTTGGCCTATCTAGCCATGGCGGCAAGTTATATACGAAGTTGAAGGTGTTGGTTCGTCAGGTCGGCTCGAAGCAGTCACCAGAGGAAAGTGTAGTATTGCAGTGATTCTGTTAGGTTAATAGTTTCGTCGAAAATGTCTTCTCGGGATCCAGCCTCCGATCAGCTAGTAAATTACAAGAAGAAACAAGTAAGTGACATATTTTCGTTGCTATTTTTAACGTTTCGTTAAGTTCTTAAACGTCTCCATTACCTCTTGACCTTTAGTTGGACACTGCAAGTCATGTATTGCAGTTGTATAATGTGTAAACAGGTTCGAGGCATAGCATATAGAAGTCTTACTCAGCAATTCATGGAGTACTATCGAAACTATAAACGTACCTTGTTTGTTAACAGCCAGTAGAACATCATTTCATGGGACACTGGAGTTGAAAAATTAACCTGAAAATCGTCATCAAATAGGCATTCTGAAAGGACGTATTTTGTGTCGGATATACGGTACAACTGTTTTCCCCCTCATTTAGAAGTAATACTACGTCTTGAAAATTAAACCTCCAAATCCAAGTAAATTTTAAGAGAGGTGCAGATATTAGAAAATGACAACTCTCACACAATCCTACATATTACAAACATTCGCAATTCATGGGCCATACTTCTTCGGTGCACAAAAAGCCCACCTTCCCTGCTACACTGCAGCTGCAATCACTACCTGACTATTTTTGGGATACTTATCACCGGCAACCCAAAGGTCAGGCCAAGAAACATGACCTCAATTAGTTTAAACATTGCTAGTGGTATTGATTGTTGGCAAGTAGTGTAACTATCAAAATGTTGTGCGGGCAAAAGAGATATGAGTATAACAAAGACATACAAACATGCACCAAGTCTAATTAATAGTCCATTGAATAACATATTTATAGCTGAATATTTAGTTCCAGTGTTTCATTATCTCAGGCACACCAGGTTATTTGCTTCACCCATGAAAATATATAAATTCGAAAACAGTTTATGAGTTAGACTGGATAAAAAAATTGCCTATATATCTATCAGTTCCTTGGGAATAACGGTAACAGATCAAAATTACATTCGCAAAGAAATTGAGAGCAGATTAAATTAACTAAATGGTCACAACCATTTATCTAAGATTTATTTTCCTGCCATATATAAAAACTTGAAGATTAAAATACAGAAACGTGTTATTTTGCTTGGGTGTAGGAATTCGCCTCGCAGCCGACAGGAAGAACAAAGCTCAGGGGTGTCAGAGAATAGTATGATGGAGAATTTTTAAACTCAGGAGGAGGAAGTAATAGGTGGATACAGAAAATTACACATTGAAGAGCTTCGTAATCATTAGAGAGATCAGTTCGAGGAGAATAAGGGAGGTGGGAAACAGAGGACATAAGAAATGTATACAAAGTTTTAGTTGGAAAGTCTGTAGGTATGTTGGTTGGAAGGAAATGTTAAATTTGATTAGTAGTTACTATTATAGGATTCTGACGATGGTGTATAACACACAGAGATACTGGGTTTTCAGACTTTATCCATCGTCCTGGTTTTTAAGATAACTAATAAAAACACGCTGATTGAGGCTAGCTCTTTCTAAGGGACCCAACAGAATAGGTGTTTTTCCCTCACCTAAGGACGGAAACAGATCCAGTTTCTGAAACGTCGTGTTTTTATTAGTTATCTTAAAAACCAGGACAGTGGATAAAGTCCAAAAACCCAATATCTCTGTGTATTAAATTTGATCTTAAAGATGTAGGATGTGAGAACATGGACTGGATTCATTTGCTTCAGGTCATGGTCTCAAAGCAGGCTTTTGTGAATACAGTAATGAACCTTGGTGTTCTGTAAAAGGAAGAGAATTTTGTGATTATCGGAGCAACAGGCTTACAAAGGAGGATTCTGCTTCAGGGAATTAAATATATTTCATTCTAGATATTGTTTTTAAGACAGTTTGCAAGTACATGCAGTAATGTTATGCTTTAACTTCTCTAGGAGGTAGACAGTGTGACAAACTGTGCAAGTGTAACAAGTCAGAATTTTGCTTAAGCAATGCCTCGTCTCCGCGGCGCTTCTCTGACTACATTATTCCAATTTTCAGACATCTTTTAACATGTCACATATGGTATTGTGACGGCTGTTTCTTCAGGCTCCACTGATCTGGCTTTCAGGACTTAAGGAAGGATGCACACAGACACATAGACAGCAAAGTGATTTCATAAGCCTCCTCTTGTTCTTTAAAAATAAGGAAAGTAGTCTAACAGAAGTAGTATAGCCATAAGACTATAATTTTTATGCTGTTGGTTCTTTACGCTGCAATACAGTATTCAGAAGCCAAGAGCCACAGAAACAGATGACCTTAGCATTGACCCGTTGTGTTGATGCAGCTCTGTATCACTCTTGTTTATGTTTGCTGTTGCCTCTTATTTAACAAGAGGCTTGGTAGGATTTTGTCACATGACTGTAGCCATTTCTGACTCTATTTATTCTACACTTTTATACAGCGGGTGACTGCACTTTACAGTTCACACACACTAGTGTCCACAGTCACGTCTTCACTGCTATTGCTTCAGAGTCAGTCACTTTATGACTGACAGTTTTCCGGCAATCAGTTCATCTTGGCGCCAAGCCCCTTGAGGATCACGACCACAGATTTTTTTGCAACTGAACCCATACGATCATAGTCCTGACCGACCTTCAACCAGCCAGTCTATCTTGGTGTCAAGCACACATCTTTGATTGTTATTGCTGTCAGAACGTTGCGGGTTTGTTGATAGGCACCCTCTCTGATGAGAGGGCGGGTGTATCATTTACAATTCCTGCTGGTCCTCGCCAGCGCAGCCATTTTCGGGTCCGAGTCCTGAGGGACTCATGACCATATTTTACTGTCTCAGATTCGAGACTCCCCCAACCTGGAGGGCCAGGTCCCCGTATTTATATCCCCCAGGAACACGGTGGCCCAGTTATATCCCCAGGCACTGAGTTCCCTTTTCCTCGCCTCCTACGACTCGCAGGGCTACCGTGGAGATATTCGAACCCGCCTCCACGCGGAAAGTCCATATCAGAGTTACTATACGACTGGCGTTTTATCTCCAATTAGTTCGCCTTGGAGCCAAGCCCTTTGAGGAACACGACCAGATGTCCCCTTACCGTCATAGTTCTTATGTAACGTCTCTCTGACGAAAGGATGGCTTTCTCTTACGAATATGCTTGGACTTTGTTAAGTTTATGTATCGCTCATAATAGCATGTTATTGAAAATTCTTGTTTTTGCACAATAGCAGGCCCTATGTCAGTCCAGGCTTTGCAAAGCAGATCATATTTATCTTACTTACGTTACAGCGTCAACTTGTCACTTGAACGGTCATAAGCTTGACCTTCGCCAAGTTTAAACCTCTTATATTTTCTGTGTCTGACTTCACCTTGTCCTATACGGAGGACATGTTTATTCTCATGATTTTGTATGACTTCTGCTTGTTGCCTGCACAATTTCGTTATATATTCATATACATACAGAGGTTGAAAGCCGATTGCAAATCGCGGACCGGTATGCAACTTGCAAATTTTCCAGTGGTGTGGAGAAACTTATTTTGTAGGCGTTGCAATTTTAAGTGATAGGTGTGTGCCGCTAATTCCCAGGAGCGGCAACCTAAGTCCCTACTTATATAATCAGTGCTTTATGGAGTCAGAGTCAGAGTCAGAGTTACTTCACGACTGGCTGTTTACCGCCAATCAGTTCGTCTTGGCGAAAAGCCCCTTGAGACTAGACCAGTATTTTTTCCCCCCCAACTGGACACTTGTGGTCATAGTCCTTATGTAACATCCTCTTTGACGAGAGGATGGGTCTGTCGTTTACAATTGGTGCTGGCCCTCGCCAGCGCAGTCACTCTGACGGCTGAGTCCTGCGGGACTCATGACCATATTTTACTGTCTCAGATTCGAGACTCCTCCAGCCTGGATGGCCTGGGCCCCGTATTTATATCCCCCCACGAACAGGGTTCCCTTTTCGTCGCCTCTTACGACTCGCAGGGCTACAGTGGAGGTATTCCAACCCGCTTCCACGCGAAGACTATATCAGAGCCACTTTACTACTGGCGATTTACCGCCGATCAGTTCGTCTTTTACTAAAACCGCAGGAAATGTGTGAATTATGAACAGAGACTGCTTTTGCAGAAGTCTTTCCCCCTCTGCTGCTGACAGCCATCTGTTTTAATGTAATTGATTGATGAGCTGATAAGGAAAACAGTATATCGAGCAAGTTTGTTCAGGGTAGGGAAGAAAACAACGTTGTGTAATATCATAATTATTGTCCAGTGGATAGTAAGACCATCGACCGCCTCTGTGGTCTAGTGGTCAGAGTTCCTGGCTACAGATCCGTAGGTCCCGGGTTCGATTCCCGGCGCTACCTGATTTTCTGAGAAGTAGTGGGTCTGGAACGGGTTCCACTCAGCCTCATGAGGATAATTGAGTAGTTGTTTGAAGGTAGTAGCGGCTCCGGTCTAGAAAACTGAGATTAACGGCCGTGGGAATCCGTTGTGCTGACCACGCGACATCCTCTATCCGCAAAAGTTGGCACTTACTTGGCCGACAAGCGGCGGTCGCTCGGTCGGTATAGTTCGCTTGCGGACTACAGGCCACGGAGTTTTTTTTTTTTTTAAGTAAGGCCATCATATAGTCTGGTGTGAGAATGTTTTAAGCTCAACTTGCCCCAGCAACACTGTCGTTTCTTTGCTGGAGAGTGGTGGGAGATGAGATTGCTTTAAAGATGAAGGTAAGGTTATCCCTGGGTTTAGTTAATTAGGCACCATGACATGAAGACATGGGGGGTGAAGATGTAGCTCCACCATTCTTGACCTTGGCACTAGGTGGAGGTAAGTGATCAGCTTTGAACCCCTGCCACCCCTGCTACTTTACTCCCATGGAAACGACCCCCAGTACCCATGATATAGGAGGCTGGGTGGGCCCTAGAACTGGTCTTGACCTTATGGAAAAGAGAAATATCTCTTGACCGTGTAAGGGATCGTACCCCAGCCCATATCGTCACTATAAAAAAGATAAAGCTATCCCTGTAACAGGCTGTGGAGGCCAATAGTGTTGTGAGACGTTGAGGCTCCCACATTTTCTCTAGACAATCTGCTCATAGATGCCGGTAAGTTTGTCAGCCTTACGCGCAAGCCTCCCTTTGCCC